CTGTCTAATCTCTTAAAAACCTCTAGCAGTGGAGCATTCACTCCATTATACAGATCACTCACTCCATTATGCACTCACTCCAAAAATACAGGTAGTCCTCAACTTGCGACCATAATTGAGATCAACATTTCTGTTGCTAAGCGAGGTATTTGTTTAGTTTAGTGAGTTTTGCCCCATTTAAGAACATTCTTGCCACAGTTGTTAAGTGGATCACTGCAATTAAGTTAGTAACATGGACGTTAAGTGAATCTGGCTTTCCCATTGACTTATCTTATCAAAAAGTCACAAAAGGTGTTCACATGCAGTTGCACTGCAACTGTCATAAATATGAGTCAGCTGCCAAGCATCTGAATTTTGATCACATGACCATGGGGATGTTGCCATGATTGTAAGTTGAAAAATTGTCATGTCACTTTTTTCAGTGCCATTGTAACTTCGAACAGTCACTAAATGAACTGTTGTATGTCATGGACTACCTGCAACATGGGAGGATTAGTAATGGAGGATCACACTGATCAGTTTGTATGAAAAAATTATTTGGTTTTGGATTAGCATATTAAGTCAAGCACATGATTACTATTTGTAACTCATCACTGGGTTTGGTGAAATATGTAATCTCTCCTATTGTGATTTATTCAATATACCATAGAGGAGCCAACCACAGCATAATAAAACATACAAAACTAATCAATGTGTGGATCTAGGAAGAATCTGTGAGTTACGTCAACAGGATTCTCATCTGAAAGTACCTTAGTTTAGCAATTATCTATACAACTCTATCAATGAATATATATGATTTTGCTGGGTATTTTCTCTGGATGTTTTACTAGTTAAGCAGAATTGGCTTGTCACTTGCAAAATAACGTCTTTGTTTCATCATAGAACCAATACTCTACTCCTGCACAGAACTTTCTCTGTGTTTAGAAATGGTTTTTCATGCAATGTACCATGCTAAGTATATCATGAAAAGAGGCACATTTATTTCTGGCTAAGCATGTAGTAACACTGCATTCAAATTCACAGACTTGAAGCAAATCCAGGGGCATGGTGTCTTGTAGCGTGTCACAAGAGTTAATTGCAGAAGTTCTTGCATCAACCTTCATGTAACACTCACAAGCAGGATGTTGACACAAACCACAAGTCTCTTCTCTCCCTAAAAAGCAGAAATTAGTTCTTAACAGGACAACGCACTGACTGAAATGGGCTTTTGCTGAAGCACCGCCAGCCTTAAGTAGCAAATGTGGACAGTATAGCTAAAGACATCTGGCAAAAATCAATCAATTCAACAAGATGAACATATAGTGTCTGCTGTGACAGCTGCAATAAGCCACAAGTGTGCAATTTTTGAGGGGTGGAGAGTTGATATAGATTTGAATTGCTTGTAGGTAGTCATGCTGGAGCCAGAATAAAAATGTAATTAAAATTTTATTTACATTTAAATGTGTTTAAAAAGAGTGTTCTGTCATTTTGTCTTATTAAGAATAATAATTTGGAAACAATTTTGGGATATATTTAGGATCACAGCTAAGATAATGGCCATATTTGTATCGCACAGAAGAGATTATCTAAGTCTATTTGTAAGGGAGGCAATTTAAGCATGCATAATGTTTGGCTGTTGAATGTATGATATTCTATTCATGCTTTTTTCTTTGACAGAAATTTTATTTATTTGCTGTTCTTTCCCAGCTTTGCTATTTGAAAATGGTTAACAATGATAATTTAAAACAGAATTTGAAATACAATGGTCTCAAAAGGGGGGTGGGGGGTAGAGGGTGGACCAGTCTATCAAAAACTATTAATCCTGAAGACTGAATGTAGCACTCCTCCAAATACCAGCAGGGAAACAAGAGTGGGAAAATGGTATGTCTGTGGTCTCTGCTCTATTAGGCACCCAATGGGCATCTGGTTGCCCATTTTCTGAGGGGTAAAATACTGGATTAAGATGACCAGTCGAGCTGTTCTTGTCAATATTCAAAAGCCCAACATGTCTAATTTTATTGCAATTGGTAGGGATGGAAACAGTCTCTCCTTGTACCTCTCCCACCACTCTAGATTGCTCCCCAGCCTTCAGAGGAAAAGACTACTGGCAAGGATTGACTCTTCTCTTTTTTAACCAACGAAAAAGTTCCAGGGAATCAGAAGTTCTCCTACTTGGGGTGGGATGGAGAGGAGAGGGGGAGGGGTTGCTGGAACCAGCTCAGGAAAAGCAGGAATTCTTGCCTTTACCTTCCAGAGAAGTCTTAGATTTCTTATTGCTAAGTTTGGCTGATTAAAACTGATTTGTCTATGACTAAAACTAAGCAACATGAGGAAAAAAGTAAACTCCTTTGCACCTTGTGCTAAAATATTACTTTGCCTTCTCATGTTTTTTTTTAAATAAATCACAACATGCTAAGCCAAAACATGATTTTTACAGAATGCTAAGCCTTAAAGTTATTCATTTAGTTTGGATTTACTATGTTGTGCCTATGAATGTGTCTTGTCTCTCTTTCTGTTTCTCTCACTCTCTTACCCAGTTCTAGTGGCTTTGGGCAACTTAAATAAAATCACTTCTGAAGAAAAAAAATGACAAATACCATTAATCATCAAGGCTCATTAAATTTTTTAAACCCTTATAACTAATTCCCAGGAAAATCTGGCTTCAAGAAAAAGTCTAAGCATTGAAATGACATCTAAAGCACAAACACCTTTAGTATTCACTGCAGCAAAGATGTTCAATTTACAAATCTTAGCTGAATTAATGGAATTTAGACCTACCCTGTGGAGGCCAGAGAAAGCCACCCAAAATGAAAGTGTTTTGTTAAAAATTAGAAGTATCTGTATAAAAATAAAGCAGCATCAAGAGGTAGACCTGAGGCAGCACTTATAAATGCTACTAGCCTTACAACTCTAAAAAAAATATCTAGGCTACCAAAATGTATTGTCTACCTTACAGAATAAATACATATTATTTCATGTAAGACTACACGAAGTTATTAGCTAACACTATGCTGCAGTACAGTATTGGATGTAGAGAAGAAGCTATGTTCTTATAAACAAAACTTAATACTTTTAGGACAAGGCTGAGACCAAAACCTCTGTGACAAATTATACACACACTAAATTAAACCAAAATTAGTAGATTAAATTAACTGAATGCAAAATAGTCAGCATATTCTAGAGACAAGTTAGACTACTAAAGGAACTTAGTGTCGCCCTTAAATGCTTTGCTTGACTATTGATCAGAGAATTAGAAAAAAATGTGCTATTTAATAGAAATAAATGATTTAGAATGAATTAGGTCAAAGTGCTTCTTAATATGCATTTAAAAGTTCTTTCCCAAACATCTCTAAGAAAACATAATTCCTGCCTAATGAATAGCATATACGATTTCATGCAAGGACAACCAACAATTTCTTCATTTTTCTGCAAATCTAAAGGGATAATCCCTACTGTTGGGATTTTTGAGACAATTTTATTACAAAATTCCAGGATAATATTTAAACTGAACATTTTGAACTGCGCTAGTTAAAACTTCCTTTTAGTTCTTTGGGTGTGTTCCAAAGCTAATGTGTTATAAATCTCTATTTTTCAAATTAGATGTATAATGTGTGGGCTTTGGAGCACACTTGGGGAAAGCGGAGGAAGCTTAACTCTCACACCCCACATTTCACTCATTTATGAAACCCATCTGAATCTCTGCCAAACTCACCCACCGCCTGCAGCCTAGAAAAGAATTAAAGGGGCCTATTTGCCTGGCATCCAAAACATAGCATCCCTGTGCTTGGAAAACAGTGAGGTCGGTCCTTCTTATTTTTTTTGACAAGAATGCACTCAAGAGCACTTTTTAACAGGGGCTTGTGTGGCTTTTCATCCCACCAAGCGCTTTAAGGCAATCAGCCCTCCAACTCACTCCTCCTAGCCTTGTCCTTCGACCAATCTAAAAGTTCCGAGGATTGGCTCACCAAACAGCCTATTAGGAGCGGCTCCTTTTTTCAGAATTCTGGCTTAATAAAAGCTGCATAAACATTTGAGCTCACCAGCAACTGGGCTCTGGCCCCGACTGAGCAGCCAATTAACAGCCATGAACGCAGATCGCTATAAAGTGTAAACGTTTGAACAGGGAAGACGAGAGAGGCGGGGGCGCAATAAAGATGCATTAACATTTCGGGTGAAGCCATTCATGTCAAAAAGCTGGGACTGAAGAGGCATTACAAGTAATAGAACAATTCAGCGATTTGCTCTCGATCCCTCTCGCTCCGGCACACACTACACGTTTATTAGGAGATGCCCTTATCCATTTCCCTCCCCCCCACCCCCAGCACTGGAGAGGCAGGTCAACACGTGAAAGCAGGTCTCCGGCCCGATCAATCCCAAGATAGGAAAGAGGAGGGCAAAACGCGCCGGTAGGTATTAAAAGCCGTGGGTCGGAACTGGGGGAAGGGAGCGGGGGGCCACGGAAACGTAATCCGCTACTTTGAGATCTGGGACTGGCTGTCCGTGTGGTTCATTTAAAGGTCAGCGGGCCGTGCGAACGCCGAAAGCGCGGCGGGGCTGTGCGGTTGTGCGAACGCGGCCGAAGCGCTGCCGTTTCCGAGATGCCCGCCCCACCGCCTCCTGTTTTGACAACTGCTCCCATTTCCTAGAGACAATGAGAAACTTGACGGGCGATCCGCCTCGGCCGTATCCTCGCACTCCCCTCCCCTCTGCCCCCGCCCCTGGGGCAGCGCGGCATCCAGGAGCCCGCGAGATGGCTTGCTTGCAAGGCTCGCCCCCGAGAGGAGGAGGAGGAGGAGACCCGGCGCTCAGTTTGGGATCCACGACCTCCCAAAAATGAAGACCCGGCCTCCGACGCGACCTGCCGCCGCCGCCTCCTCACTTGCTGCTGGCGGCTGCTGCTGCTGCTGCTGCAGCGGCGGCTGCTCTCCAGAAGCCTCCCAGCAACGCAGCAGCTCTTCGTGGGCTTCCCCCGCCTTCTCCGTCCCCCGATTCTATTGTTGGTGGTCTCTCTTTTTATTTACCTGGTCGGTCAGTTTGAGCACTGCCATGATCTCCCCCGGGCTTTGCTCGCCCACATGCAGCTCTCTCCGCCTGGAGATGCCAAGCCACGTTCCGAAGGGGAGACGCGCGCGATCGCGGGCTGACAATCCTTCTCCTCCTCCTCCTCCCGCAGCAGCTCGCTAGGTCAGGAGGAGAAAAACCCGCTGGTATTTAGCCAAGCCTGCTCTGATACAGGAAGTACGGATGCATTCAACCCAGCTAGCCCTGACATCACTCCAACACACTCTCCGGGCCGCGCTCGCCTTGAGTAAGAGCGCCCCTTGCCGAGCGTAGCTTGGAACTGCGCCTTTGACTCTCTCCCCCCCCTCCTTCCCCCTCCTCCTCCTCCTCCTCCATGTCCGGAAATGCGAAGCTGCTCCTACCGACTGCTGGAGAGCCCGTCGGGATCGTTTCCTTTGTTCCGCTCCCTGGTGTCAGCCGCCCCCGAGCGCGAAATCTGCCCTTTGCGATTGCTCTCCTTCCTTGGTCAATGCGCAATTTATCGGCAATTAAAATAGCGGCGGCTGGGTTCGGTGTTGTAGTTGGGCCAGGCTATAAAATTCTGATACACCATGTGTCTCCTTCAAGCTTCTGACGGCATTGCGTTTGGAATTCAGCCTTTTTGTCCTTGGAGCTCGTCGCTTATATGGGCCGCAGCCTCTTGCTTCCGGGGTCGATCCTGGACTTTGGGGTGCTTCTAAGATGTAGGGTGAAATCCCCATTTCGTGATTAATGGGAGGGCAAATTTCACATGTCTTATAATGAAAGATGAGCTGTACGATAAGGTGTATAAAAATCAAGCCTGATGTGGAAAAACTATTCTTCCTTTCTGGACAGATTAAAGGGAAATACTTGTTGACACAGTGGCTAGTTACAGTAATGAAATTTGCAGCCATCAAATGTGGATATGGGCTCCAAAGTTAAGAGTTTTTAAAGGGGACGAACTATTGGGGGAAGGATCAGGCTAGCGCTGGTGGAAGGTAAACATCTAAAGCTGTTAAAAAGAGTAGATGGCCTGCACCTTTTTGAAATCCTGTGGCTTTTTTATTAATAGCCCTTGAACTATCAGGTAGGACTTATGCTCACACAGAGATGTTCCACTGAACCATTTAAAAGGACATATTCCAATGTTGCCTTGACCCCTTCCACAAAGGTGATGGTTTAAATTCACCTTTAGCAACTGTACTAAATGTACAGTTGTAATGTAATAGATCAAATCAATGACTTAAGGCCATGTTGGCTGGAGATAAGCGAGTCTCATTGTCTGACGCTTGGAAGATACCATGTTGTCAGAGGTGGTTTTATGTCAATTTTAAAGGTAATATTCTAATATTTTAATAATTTCTTGCTTTTTACTTAGTCTAAACCAAAATGGGTGGCATAAAAATGCAATAAAATGTTGGCTCTATTTACATTTTTTGTATGTGTGCTTTGTTCGACTGCTATTCTTTGAATAGTAATAAAACTTGTTTGCTTTCTATCTGTGAGCTGCCCTAAAAATATGTTGAAAGACAGCCATATACATATATCTAAAAAAACTTAGTTTGGATTTCCCAGTTGAAAAATATCTGATGTGAGCAATAAACTAACATCAGAGAGGCCTTTCTAAAGAGGGGGATCCTAAGAAACAAGAATTTCTTTTCCCCAGGTAGTATGAAAGATACATAAAATGTTTCACTTATTGGATCCATTCCAGTGGTGGGTTGCTCCGCCCACCTGCCCGGACGCTTCTGTGCATATGCAGAAGTGTTGCACGAGCGAACCAGTAGCAAACTAAATTGAAACCCACTACTGATCCATTCGACTGTTTTCTGTTTGAATAAGAGATGGGAAGGGTCAGAAGAGAACTTAAACAATTATTTTCAGTTCATAATGTGCATATGTGCAATCCATATAAACAAAATCAAAATATAACTGTTTATTTAAATGTTTACATACTTCTTCCCTGCTCATTATGAATTTAAAAGACCCAGGGGAAAGATAATTCCTAGACTCTCATGGGGCACCTTTAAAGGAACTTTGAAAAGCATCTCTGTCTTCCCCATGGGGTAAAGAAGCAACAGGGATTTTTAAAAAAGTGAGATTAACTAGTAAGCTATAGTGTTTTGAACCCTACGCAATTTTGGAATTAAAAAAATATTCTTCCAGTAAGAGATATGTAAGCATCTGATGCACATTATTTTAGTCAAACTCCATGGTAGAGTTTAAAATGTGAGACTGCAAGTTTTCCATGAATGTTCAAGAATAGAGAATCTAAGTGTCATAAGATTCTGGTATGTTTAAAGAAAATCTGAAGTAGCAATTGAGACACAAGTTTTAAAAAATGTGGCCTTGGAAGCTTTCCATAAACATTGCATGGCTCCCATGCAATGCTTTTCACTGCACAGCTGCAGCCCTATTCTCCTTATAAATTAAACAAACAAATTAAGTGTTGTCCCTGACCAACAAATGAATGCTTTCCCGTGCTAACCCTTGATTCAAGTTACCACAATGTGTGAGCCTAGAGCAGACATCCCAGGTTTGCAATGTCATCTGAAGTTGAGTTTAATGTTGGCTAATCAATTGTCAATTTTCCTTTCCAACCTCCAGATAGTTAAGTGGGAATAGCAGCCACAAAATGACAACTTGAATGGCATTTGTTAACCATAGACTTCGTTTTTCTTTTATACTGGGCCTGAATGTGCTCAATCTTTCCATATCCCACATACAATGGCTACTATCATCAGTTAGACATCTGTGCCATTTTCCCCTTTTGAGCAAGAATGTTACCATGACCAGCCACCATAAAATTTGCTGGTGGATATTTGGTGTAATGTTTACCCACTGAACATTACATATTGTACATAGCCTCCTAATAACATTTCAACCCCACATATACATCTATTTTAGTGTATAATCCACAGCCATGTTTCAATAGTCAATAAATATCCAGTTTTGTATTCATTACTGCTTCAGTAAAGCAAATCATAATGGAAGAAAACAGTGGATATATGATAGGAAAATATTTGGTGGAGAAAAGAAAAAATAAAGACCCAAACCTCAAAGCAATTCAGTACAAAAGCCAATTTTATAACAAGTGCTTTTTCAAGATAAAGACACAACAATCAAAATGTGAACGTTTCTTATTTATTCAAAAGCTAGGGTATGACAAAGACAATTAAAATGTAATATGCCACCTTTTTACATGAATTGCTTGATGATCTGAGACTTCTTATATGTCTCCCTGCCCAAAAATGCTCACACACAAATAACCATTAATATTTTATACACAAATGTTTATTTCTCAAACAGCCCCTTTAAACACAAGGAACAGAATCTTAAATCCTCATCAAGATGATTTCCCTCCCATATTCTCTGTAATCATTGTGTTCTTGGTCACTACTGGCTTTAACACCAAAACAAAGACATGTTATTTAAAAATCATGCTATTGATTTCTAAGCTCTGCCTCTGACCATTCTACGGTACTCTGCAGTGTCTTAAAAATTGTACATCACCAGTTCTGAACCAAATATGGAATAGCTGTCTATTGAACACAAAACAAATGAGAAATAAAATTACAAGACATAATCAAGTTCATAACGAATGTAGGTATTCTTTTCATCATTGTAGATTCGTGGATAATGTGCTATTAGAGCATCCTGTGAACCAATATAGATGGAATTATAAATCTTCCAATACACATCTCTGACTTTTCTGGCAGGGTGAAACAAACCCTAGGAAAAAAAATAGAACCAGAAATTAAATTGCACTTAAGTGAATCATCTTATTTACTGATCATTTTACAAAGAAATGGCATTTTTTGACATGTCATAAATCTGGATACATTATTCAGCTCGATCTCTATTGTCTAGCTCCTCCTTCCTAGAAATAATTGGCAAAAGCTTTGAGAAGCAGCAGTAATAAGTTGCAGAAGTTCTTATATGTAGCCACTGCCTTTCTACTTATGTTGATTTTATACTTTGTGGTTTATGTAGTCTTTTATTAAAATAATTTATCTGTTTATTAAGGCAAATGTATCTGTTGCCCATGCTAGATATTATTTCTTATCATATGAATCATTCAGAAAATTTTCTACTAGCAAAAAATGATCTTGGAAGATTTCATTATCTATGTTCATTTGCAAACCATATACATGGAACCTTGCTACATTACAATTCTTTTCTAGAGTTCAATATAAAGAAATCTTTAAGACAGTTGCAGGATACTTTTCAATTAAATAATTTTCCTGATTTAATATTGTTTTTAAAAAATATTCAGAAATCTAGATAGGCATTTTTATCCAATTTACCTGTAAACAATACTGCAACATCCGGCAAGGTCCAATAGCCACCCTTAGGCCCTCCAGTGCTCCCATAACTGCTTGGATGACATGAGGAGATGTCTCAAACACATTGGGCCACACATAATTTAGCAAGTGATTCAGAGAGTCCTCACAGCCAAACCCATATACTCCAAGAGACATATGCTGCACTACTGCACTAGCTGTTTGCCTGTGCACCAGATCCCTGAAAAAGAAATTGTACAGAAGAAATTATTAGTAACTTGCTCCCTATTTTTTCTTTCATTCAACCTTAAGTTGAGCCAGAAGTTGTTCTAGTTTGATAAAATAAAATCTTTTAATATCAAACATGATTGTTCATCCTTTTCTCCTCAATAGTCTTGGGTTGATAGCTGGCACAGTTAACTTCCCCCCTTTTGCCTCCAAGTCAAAACTGTGCTTCAATACCACAAAAAGAAGAAAAGAAACATTGCCAGGTCAACCAAATTCCTAAAACAGATCAATGTAAGAAGGCGTGTCAAAAAGAGAAAAATGAGAGGGAGCAGCAGCACTTCAACAGTCCAACGGGCTGACTCCCCCAGCTCAGATAAGTTGCTAAACAGGGTGGATTTGCTAGTAGGTGGATGGGTAGAGAATAAAAAGAATATCAAAGAACGAAGCTACCCTTGCTTCTCTTTTACTTACACAACCAGTATAAGGAACCATAGCAATAGAGGCACTCTCTATCCCAGCACCTATTTGTGCTCTGGAACTGAATTCCTATTCAAATAATTAAACAAGGGTAAGAAAGGGACTGTTCTTTCCCTTCTCATTTCCCTTCTACTGTTGGGGTAAAGGAATATAATAGAATTATCATTTAAGATTATTTAACTCCAGACCATTGTAATTACTGTATTTCAAGAAAAGCTATATACTGTAGAATAACTCTTGAATGTACTAATTTATTTAAATACATAAAGGAGGTCCAAAAGT